AGGATGTGTAGGCAGTTAGTGGAAGGAGATACCAGTACAAAAAAGGTCAATTTCCAATTACCAGTAAAACCAAAGATATTATTAAAAGCAAATTGTAAGGAGTTCTAGGTGACAGCAGCAATTTTAAACTTATGAAAAAGGAGCAGAAAAGACCTCGAGCTTCCTCCCAACCACCATTAGGTAGAGAAACGAAAATGGGATGAAACAACTCCTACTTGCAGAATGATTTGGTTACAGCTATAGGTCGCATTAGCTAATTTTGTCGCAGTCAGCCTAATTGCACGAAGATTTCCACTGGAGCTTTCTTTTGTTATTTGCCCACTTCTTTTGTATTTCGCTGCGTCAAGATCAATCTTATCAAGCGCATAATTTTGTGTAAGCTTGGTTAGTAACATCACGGACCAGACTTATTGTTTCAATTTTGCCAGCTTCTCAACCTCCTTAGGCATCGCGGGTATCCCTGGATGGCAGGACAATCTTTAACTTTGCAATTAGTCAGATTAATTGAGCAGGATCACTCTAAGTTTTCAAACTTTAAGGCCATCTTTTTTCTTCCCTATCTTTCCCTTCACTCCACTTTGCACCAACATAAACCTCCTACAGAACATGCCAACAGAAAAGTTCCACCATTAATTCATTAAGGGCGCAGTTAAGGACTTCCATGTTTTTTCATGGTATTTGCAAAATTATCATCCAATTTCGCCTTTTCTTCCTTCCATCATCATGATCCATCTGAACTATACCTTCAGATGATTTTCAGCTGAGCTTCGCCTACTCTCCCAAGGTTGCTTTTGATGGACGAGAAAGGACGAACACCCCAGGAAAAACAAAGGAGGTATTGATATCTTCGTTTCACATGGTTAAGGATCTCCTTTCCCAGGCTCATGAGCATTATATGTTGCGGAGTGCTTTTAAGATTCTCAAAGCTAACCTTCACTATCAAAATGTTTTCCCATTCAGTTTACGGGAACCCCTTGTTTGCGTTGCAACCCCATAAAATAGGAACATGTAGAGGTCATAGATTTGTCCATAAATTCACCTGGGTGCGGATGGCATTGAAGCATTTGTGTGTATTGCTCTCAATCATAGGGTAGCAAAAAGGAGAGCTTCAGAATACAAGTAAACGGTATTGCATGCATATGTACAATAAAATATAGAAATATAAGAGTGCTGAAAATGGTCCCAACTTGTGGTGGGGATACTCTTCACCTTCAATGTAATGCTGGGCGAAGACGAGGATTCAACCACGCTCTCCACTGTCTTACAATTCACTCTTCATTTTTCTGCATTGATGTATCTGTAGGTAATTTCTGCTATGCTGCACAAGAAAGGAAAAAGGCTCAAAAAGGTATCCCAATCAGCCAGGCCTTTGCTCCATTGCCTGTACAGGATTAGAACATAAACTCATGGAAAAATGAGTCCACAGGCACGATGAACAAGCTGATTGTGATAAGCCCAAAGAGATGCAACTCACAGAAGAACATAAACCCAAGAGAAACAATTCAGACATAAAAACCCTTTTAACTATTTGCACAAATTTAAAAAATTAAGGAATTACTAATAAAAGAGGTTAGTCATCTCCTCTTTTTTTTCTACCATTAAAGGAGAACAAAGAAATAAAAAAAGAAAGCAATAACATTCTCTAATTGGCATCAATTGGTGAACGATACAAATAACTACCTGTTGTACTATAGTAAATGAATAAAAAAATTTTACAAAGATAGAAATCAAGCCCCAAAAGTAAATGGCTGGGGTCTATTGTAGAAAAAATTAATCTTCAAGATAAAAAATTAAATGAAATGGGGAAAGGGAGGAAAAGGAAAAGGGACAGTACGAAAAAAACGATGCAATAATATTTCTTGAAAACTGTTACCTACAAAAATTCATTGTACTTTGAGTGGGGAGAGCAGCTTAGCCATGAATCACAAAAATCCTACCTCAACAATTCATCCCCCTCCCAAACTACTATCTGCACATTATTGCGAAGTGTGAGGACGACATGTAGCTAGAATTCATGCAAGGGATTGTAAGCTGGAGGTAATTCAGGCATCAAGGTGAAATCTTTCTTTGGATTTCTTCTAGGATCCCAAACCTTGAAGACCAAGCGGTTTCCTTCTTCACATGGCACAGAGCATTCTGGATATTTGGCCAGGCGCCACTGAGTTGTATACCTTGAAGAACCCTAGACATACATATTGGGTAGTGCACTTGAGGATTATAGTGATATGCGGCAACAAAGTAATGCCCGAATTTATGCACAACAAAGAAAACCTGAAATAACATTGGAAAACAGGTGCCAACTTACAAATATGAAATGGACATGGTACATAGCATGACCATCAGATCAGAACAGTAATATCTACATTTGATAACACACCACGTCGCTTTGCCCAAAAACCGCATGCAGTCGGCAATGTTGTGCGGAAATTCTGCTTCTTGACGGGGAAAGTTGAAAACACTATTCAGAGAATAGAAGGTGACTCAGGTCTTATCTTGCTCCTCAGAAAGAGGAATAATCAGTCAAACTGAAAAACAAAAAAAGGACATTTCAAACCTGATGTTTGGCACCAACGCAAATCTGGTCAGTAACTCTTGCAAACAGTTTCAGATACGGAACGTGTTTGTTCAATCTGGCATGTAGTCATCGAGTCTTAGTGAAATATCTATCCTGCATGAAATCAAATAAATGAAAATAGAGGAAACGGAATTCGTATATTCCGTGGAGCACGCCATGACTAAGCCATATTGCAAGTGGTAATTATAAAAGACCACTCCTGCGCATTGAACTTGAAATATACTCATAGCATTCTCGGCAGCAAGGCCAAAGAAAGGCTCCCAAAGGTGAACAGTATTCTCATAAAGCACAACACCAACTCTTACCAATCATATTCCTCTTTTTCTATTCTCTTGATTTAGATGATAAAAACTATGAAGGTGTATCATCCCTATCCTGCACAATCAGGGCAAGAGCCCCTCTTCTTTTTCTACAAATGAAGGCAGATGCATTTCGTCCCTTTCCATCTAGTAAACATGGAGCATTTGAAAGTCACTCAACTGCCATTTTTTCGCCGAGTCTTAACTCCTTTTCAAATAAATTAGTTTGATATTAGCTTCTGTCTATATCTTTTAAAATTTTCATGACTACCTGTTGATTTGTCTCTCTTCCGCCTCACCACACTCTCTGGAGAAGCAAAAAGCTTTCAAAAAGAGAAAAAAGACAAAAAAATAAAAAAACAAATCTATTACAGCAATAGACACACTTGTTTTTCTAAGACCATCGCATGCTATTGTGGAACGAACAAAAAACAATGAATCAAGTTACGCACATTCAGTCCAACATTTAAAACAGAGAATTAAAGAATGAAAGATGAAAGAAAATTAAGCAATATTGGAAAAAGGATTTACAGAGGACAATTTTCAACGTTCAAATTGCAAAAAAACCAGGAACATTTTCAAATTAAAAAATGCAAAATCCAGGATGTTAGAAATTATACCAAAAACTTACTTTCAGGGAATTCACCCAAAGGGAACAACTATTGACATAAAGAAATCTATTGAACACCTAAACTTGAAGTCTCATCCTACTTGGAACATGTGCATCCAGGGGCACAGGATGCAACTCTTGTACTTCAGGCATCATCTTTGATGCATTACTATTGTTAGCCTCACGAAGGTTTCCTGCAAGCCGAATAATATAGAGGCATTGTTAACTCACTAACGTATTGCCACAACTAGATTCTATATCATAAACACACAAAACTTATCGCACTGTCTCGTGATTGCATGTCGTAGGCCCCACACAAAGAAGTGTCGAATATCTTGCACAGGAGCCGATGCACCTGAAAAAAAGCAGAAGACAATATTAACACAGGACTCACAATAAGAACACCAACGTGTGGCAGCAAAATATATGAAAATTTGCCTAGTGTGCCAACAGAAACAGATTAGGACATAAATCCAGTATTCTTTCATTAAGACTTGTTGAATGGATACATGGATAGACAGCACTTCCTGGGTTATACAACAAAAATTATATAAAGTTTAACTAAATAATATTGCAGGAAAAAACAGTTAGTTATTGCTTCTCCCTTAATAGGGATGTTCATATGATGGTGATGGACCACTCGACCCACCACTACTTACATCAGAATTACCATTTAAAATATTCGAAAACGTGACATAACTTTAGAGTTTTATATTATACAATTGGTAGGATCCAAGTAACTTGCTGAAAATTAGCTCACAGAACAGTCGATAACGGAGAGTTCCTGAGGGCAAACGCAACTAAAGGTCTAATAAAGACTACAAGAAATGTAAAGTAGGAAGTGTATGGCGTCACAATTTAGCAGCACATACTAGCATGAAAAAATAAGTGAAAGGCAAAGTAACTACAAGGTCATGTTCTACTGGTCATACAAAGAGATTCCATGCAGGCGCAAAGCAAAAAAACAAACGCAGAGTAACACACTAGAGGCTAACTCATAAACTCTTAAAACTCTTTCTCGCCACTAAATTCAGCTTGCAGTATATCTGTCATTCCACATATTCAAATGCTCCAATCATAAAAGTTAGTCAACATACATTGAATTGCATAATAGGTAGTTTTAATGGTTACAATATATTAGAGAGATTGATCATGAATAGTCCAATCCAACTATAACGCCACAAGGCATCCCTACTAATCAACTCTCAAATATTTTTGCATCAATAGTTGGCCTTCGATGAATTGGGTTTTTTAACATTAATTGCCAAAAAGGAACTTCACCTGTCAGATGAGAATTAAAGATGACAGCATACAATTTCAAAATAAAATAAGACGAAAAGCCTATAACAATAAAGTTGAACCCATACACATAACATGAACCAAAAGTAATAAATCAACAGCTTCATAGGTGGAAGTTTGAAGGACAGTTATTTCTTCCTCTCCCTCCATTCCAAGTACAAAAGCATTTACATGGAAATACAAAAGCATATACATGGAAAAGGTGTACTCAGCAAGAAAACCTCTATTCTTCAGAAGGAAAAGATAAGATTAGAAGCGTACCCCTAGCCGATAAGAACCAAAGGTGAAAATCTTAGCATTTGCTTCCTGCACTAGTTGCTCATTCAACCCTTTTGCACGGCTAATCACTTTCACCCAATTCTTCACAATCTGTTACATTTTATATCAACAACATGACACATACTTTAGCCAGAAGATAAAAGGCAAAAATATAAATGCAAGTCAACAAATGTTCAGAGGTGAAGAACAAAAGCCTGGATAGAAATGACATAAACAGTGACAAGAAGATAAATTTCAACCTGGTCTAGTCTCCCAAGCACTTCCTCATAAATTTCAACCTGGTCTAGTCTCCCAAGCACTTCCTCTCTACTCACAGCCTCCTCTTGACTCTCATACAGCCCCACATTTTGCAAATACTGCACATGTTCAAATAATACTCAAATCCATCATTTATAGAGCAACTATTTCAACGAGATTAGAATAAGGGAAAAAACAAAGAGTAAACAAAACCACAATAAACCTTTTCAAGTTCGCGAGTCTTTATTACATCGTACTCTGTTGGTCCACCCAAGGAAATGGGTTCTGTAATCCCTAATCGCCGTTGCTGGTGCCAATTACTTTGAGTGCTTAATCCAGGACTCCCCATTTGTTTTTCTCCCTTCTTTATTTTTATCTTTTTTTTTTTTTTTTCAAATATTTTTCTTCTGTTCAGTCTTTGTACATGGGGATGTCAAGCACAAAATTTATTCATCATAACATCTTCCATAAACATTGAAAAAAACAACGGAATAAATAAACAAAAAAAAAAAACGAAAGAATCAAAACTCATCAATCCGTTTCACCAAGCAGTAATTATTTCTCATAAATAAAGCTCAATTCATATAATAATTCCACCAACATTATTTCTTATGAAAAATATTCATCACCAATTATTATAGCAAATCACACCAAATCCTTAATATTTAGACTTTATAATTATCATTGATGTACTTACACTAATTAATCCATATATTTCATCCAGAAAAATGCTTATCTCAATAGTTATAATAAATTCCACCAACCAACATCAACATCATGTAAATTTCATCAAATACATATACTAATCCATAGTTATAATAAATTCCACCAACCAACATCAACATCATGTAAATTTCATCAAATACATATACTAATCCAATACTCTAATTAAATAAATTCTAATGTCCTCCGATCCGAATCATTTAGTTCTCTTATTAAATAATACTAGCAATTCATTCTCAACACACCCTTCCGCAGGCAGACATATACACACATTCGTGCATTTTTACATATGTATTCCATATTCAACACGTATTAAATAAAAATAGCATCTTTCATCATTTGACTTCAACTTATTAATCATATATAAGTTATCTTCTCACATACTTAAATTATATATGAATATTATTTATTTCATAGAAGGATTTTTGTTTAAACCATCCCTTAGCATCAGTAACTAAATCAGATCTCTAAAGAATAAGGATACAAATGTTGTGCAAATGCAGTGCTGACATGCATTATTTATTACTACTCACTGCGGCGGGGCGGGGAGGTCAACGCTCTAACTCTGATTCTGACCGGGAGAAGCATAGACAGACCTGAGCGATCCAAACAAAATATTATTGCCAGAGTTTGCTTGATCGGTGACCAAACCAAATCGACTGGCCTTCAACCAATCTCACTGGATCGAAATGAAATAGCATTCACTGGATCGACCAAAACTGGCCTTCAAGCGGCGGCGACTGGCGGTGGCAGAGAGAGCGACAGAGGCGGCGCGATGGAGGTGGGTGGTGCTGCCCTTGCTCGATCGAAGGCAGAAGAGGAGCTGTGTAGCGGCGATGGTGCGATCTGGTGGTGGAGCAGGTGGTGGCGGTCCTCTCTGAGCTGCTGTCTCTGCTTGGTTGGAACGGAGAGAGGGGCGGAAAGGCGACCTTTGGCGACGTCGACCTGCAGCGAGGAGCGGCGGTGGCGCGCGATGGATCCGCTCGAGCTGGGTTCTCCAGAACGCAACGAAAAAGAAAGAAAAAGAAAGGAAGGAGGAGGAGGAGGAGGAGGAGGAGGTGGCAGTGTCGGTGGTGCTGCGTGCAGGTGGAGGCGCAGGTTGCGGAAGGAGAGGGTGAATGTGCTAGAAATATAAGGTGAAGAGGGTTACAGGAGTGGTTTGGGTGGGTTTGGGTTGGTTCGGTTTGATTCCTGTTCGATTCAGCCTAAATCGTGATTTTTGTTAAATTTTTTGATTTTTCAATCAGTTTTGGTTCGATTTATCACTGTATGAATTATTAATTTGCATTTAACTAATTAAATAAATTTTCCAGGGTGTCAGTTTATTAAATTTAAATGAAAAATTTTTAAAAATAAAAATTCGGGTTATTTCAATGACAAATAAGACTATTGCTATTTTTTAAAAGGACAATTGATAAATTCATCATTGAATTATAATCAAATTGACATATGAGAACTTTTGGTATTTATTTTAAAACGCTGAAAATTTCTGTTAATCCTCATTTTCTCCACGCATAATTTAAAACGCTGAAAATTTCTGTTAATCCTCATTTTCTCCACGCATAATTTAAATCAATAATTTTTCAAAAACTATCATGAATTTTTTAAGTTATGGTTTTACTAATACTTTAATTATTTCGTCCAAAACAGATCATCAAAGCCTCAACGGAAGAGAGATCAATTTCATAATTAATTGCCTAGTAAAAGAGAAAGACAAACGTATTAATAAAAACATAAATTAAGAACTTCATAATTATTTTTTTAAAATAAAAATTCTCATGTGTTAATTTGATTATAGCTTAGGAACTAATTTATTTTTTCTCATTTTGAAATAACATTTTTTTCATTTGTACTCTTAAAAGGTCCTCTCATCCGTTGTGACTTCTTAAAGGTTCCCATTCCAGTTCCCATCTTCTTATGTTTTAACTATTTTTTCTTTTAGAAAAATGGTACTTAAAAAATAAATCTACAGTCAATTTTCTTTTTCCCGTATATCTATTTCCAGGTTCCCAAACTTGAGATTCATCTAATTTCATATTTTTTATAATCTGGGAAAAGATTGCACCATAGTAGTTTATTGTTGTTCATTAAACAGGAATAGGTAAAAAAAAAAACTTCCTATTTTGTGGGGCGTGATCCTTGACAGAGAGGCCCTCTTTAAGCCGCACAAAAAAAAAAGAAACCACGACCGGGCAATTAAGAAACCAAAGGCTCTCTGAGCACATTACTTGCCAATCCTGCAAAATTTTATTCTGCTGGGTTTTATGAGTTTACTGGCCTTTTTTCTTACGTGCGGTTACTTTAATTTCTTGATGGGTGATTTCTTGGTCAACTTGGCTTTTCACCAATTATTTAAATGATTTAACAGAGGGAAATTATCAATTAATTCTATTCCTCATTTATATATATTTTTTCTTCCCGATTTTTTGGCAACCAACAAAAAGGCTAATTGTGTTTTTGCGTATTTCTCAGTTATACTTATTAATTAGAGATGTTGGAATATTGTTTGAAACTGTGAGTTCCTTGCAGGTGAAAGACTACTTATTCAAATGTGCACCTAATGAATGCTTTTGTAGGACCAACCGAAAGGCAAGGAAGAGAAGTAACGGCCAATTGTTTGACTTGAACAACATTGCAGATGTCCCCCAGTTCTGGACCGCCTCCAACAACAGTTTGAGAAGGAGATTGGCCAAGTCTTCAAGTTAAAATTCATCTCCTTCTTTTTCTAACTTTTTTTTTTTTTTTTAATTTTTTTTCCACTGAGGTTCCCTGATCATTTAAATTTTAATGTAACCACAGGAAAGTAATTTGACATGAAATTAAGCAAAGTTTTCTGATTTTCTTTGCTTGAGGCTTTGGCAAAAAAGTGCAAAAAAATTAGAAGCCTCAGGAGTAACAGCGTTAATTCTTGTTTCTTTCTTTTTTAATTTTATAAAAACATGAGTAAGCTGGGCAAGTTGCGCAGATGTTTTTCACCTCTTTCTTGCCATTTATTCCACCCGTTGTACATCTTTAGTTTGTAAGAGGCATAATTCTTTTAAATGGGGACAAATTAGCATGGGGACCAAGGGGTTCTCAAACAAAATGGGCAAAAATAGTAATTTCCAAAAATTAAAAAAAGTACAGGAATTACTTAAATATATATAAATTTAAAGGAAGATATCTTCTTCTGTCCATTTTCTATTTCAATTGGTCGCTGTGTGAACAAGTCCAGGAAATAGAGGGAATCCTAGAACAAATTTTCTTAGCTCCTTTCATGAGAGTATTGTATTCTTCCAAAAAGCCCCATGAATCTCTTTCGGACTTAGTTCTACCCACAGGTTTCCCAAAAAGGTGAATTTGGGTTCTTTGCAAATTTTATTCTTGCTGGTTTTATGTTTACTGGCCTTTTTTCTTACGTGGGTTACTTTAATTTCTGATGGGTGATTTTGGTCAACATTGCTTTTCACATTATTGAAATTTAACAGAGAAAATATTCATAATTTTTCTTATATATATATTTTTTTTCCAAGTTTTTTTGCAACCAAACAAAGGCTATGTGTTTTTGCGTATTTCTTATACTTATTAATAGAGTTGGATATTGTTTGAAACTGTGAGTTCTTGCAGAAAGCATACTTCAAATGTGCACATGAATGCTTTGATAGGACAACAAGGCAAGAAGAGATAAGCAATTGTGTTGAACATTGCAGTGTCCCAGTTCTTACCGCTCAACAACAGTTTGAGAAGGAGATGGCCAAGTTTCAAGTAAATTCATCTCCTTTTCTAACTTTTTTTTTTTTTTTTAATTTTTTTTCACTGAGTTCCCTGTCATTAAATTAATGTAACACAGGAAAGGTAATTTGACATGAAATTAGCAATTCTGATTCTTGCTTGAGCTTTGCAAAAGTGAAAAAAATAGAGCCTCAGGATTAACAGTTAATTCTTTTCTTCTTTTTTATTTTATGAAACATGTAAGCTGGGCAAGTGCAGATGTTTTCACCTTTTTCTTGCCATATCCCGTGTCATCTTTAGTTTTAAGCATATCTTAAATGACAATTAGATGGGACCAAGGGGTTCTCAAACAATGTGCAAAATAGTAATTCCAAAAATTAAAAAGTACAGGATACTTAAATATATATAATTTAAAGGAAGATATCTTCTTCTGTCCATCTATTTCAATTTCCTGTGAACAATCCAGGAAATAGAGGAATCTTAAGAACAAATTTTCTTAGCTCCTTTCATGAGAGTATTGTATTCTTCCAAGCCCATGAATCTCTTTCGACTAGTCTACCACAGTCCAAGTAATATGGGTTCTGAATGTGCCAATTCCCTGTGTACATAAGACGTCTATCCTGAAAAGTAATGCAGTAAGAGGTGGGTAGGGGTTCAGCCAGGTATTTAAAAATGAAAGTATCTATTGATCTTCTCGTATCTTTGTGGTATTGCTTGTAGTGAGAATCTTTTCCAAATTCACCTGGTGCCATCTCCCATGTTTTAGAGGTCACAATGCTGCATTTCTTGGTTTTGGCATCATTCTTGCAAAGTGACAGCATTTTGTGTTCTTGTCATGGACTTTGAGTTTGTATTTGTGAATCAAAATATCCAACCCTGACAATGAGCGACATTGGTAGCATCATTCTATGTTGCATAGGTGCAGCCATGGGAAGAGAAAACAAAAAATAAACTCAGATCCACATGAAAGTACACTGAATTGGAATGCGAGGCTCATTCATTATGTGAAATATTCAAATGCCCATGCTTTCTTTTATTTTTGAGATGGAATAACTAATAAGTGTTCCATATATTCCATGTATAGGCGTTCCTTCGTTTGCAATTCCGAACCATGAGTTGCTCTTGACCTTTCACATTAGGGCTGTGTTTGGACCCATGGACACAAAAAGAAAATTGAAAATCTGGGGCTTTCATGTTTGTTGCATATATAAAATTCAGGTTTTTGAATTGCCAAATTTATGGATGGACTTGTATTGTTTTACTTTCTGCTAAAATTTGTAATGAACATAAACTGTGTGTTCATATCTTATTTCCATAGGTTTCAAAATTCCTTTTTGGTATAGTGCTACATTTTTATTTTTTTTATTTTTTTATTTTTGTTCGAAGAAGCCTTTTCTTCTTCCTTGTATGGGTTGTTTCAATTTTTCTTTTGTTTTAAATTGAATGCAGGAAAGGTTGAATAGGTCTCTGATGGTCTACCAAGACAAGTACGAGGCAGCTAAGCAACAAGAGATAGTATCTGATGCTGTGAATGCTCTGGAGTCGTGTTGATCAGTCAATCCAGGATAACATCAAGGCACTACCACATCTGGTTGGAAGATTGAAAGCATCTCTCTCCATCAGAGATTAAACTAAACAAGAGTCATTGAAATGTACATTGAAAGTGGAAATGTACAGAAACAAGCCTCAAGGGTTGTTTTGTAATTAACCTGCTAAAACAATATGCATTATAATAGAAACGTACAATATCAACTTAGTTAGAACATTCAATGTTAATCACTTGCAGAGCTGCTGTGAGAAAAATGAGAAAGATATTAACAAAAAGAACTTAGATTCTTTTCATTGTCAATATCAATTAAAGTCAAATGGACTAAAATGTAACATTCCCAAGATAAACACAGATTGCTCAAAAGATAATATTCGTCTCAGAATACATTATTACACTTTACATTATAAGATCAGCCCTTAATATCAATTGTCCAAATATTCAACTTAAAGTCAAAATGGACTAAAAATGTTGAACACTTCCCAAGCATAAAAGACACAGATTGGCTCTTAAAAACGAAGATTCTTTTCATTGTCAATATCAATTAAAGTCAAATGGACTAAAATGTAACATTCCCAAGATAAACACAGATTGCTCAAAAGATAATATTCGTCTCAGAATACATTATTACACTTTACATTATAAGATCAGCCCTTAATATCATCCTAGCCTCAAGATTCCGGCTTACTTTTCTGCTCTTCAAACTTATCTATAGCAACCTTAAGCTCATCTGTTCCTCCAACAGCTCTCATATTGTAAAAATAAACCCCTAAAACAAATGCTGCCAATCCGCCGGCAACTATCAGATTCTTGGTCTTAGGTGCAAGGCTCCTATATCCAGAAACTCCAGTCATCT